GAAGGGAAGGGAAGGGAAGGGAAGGGAAGGGAAGGGAAGAGTGGAAGGGAAGAGTGGAAGGGAAGGGAGAAGGTGGTGAGGGAAATAAATAGGAGATTAGAACCATTAAATGAATTGTTCAAAGTAGCAGCAGTTTGTAAGTGGTAAGCCGGGACTCAGTTCTGACTTTCCTCTGTACCATGTGTCTTGGCATTGCTACAATTTAATTACAGCAGGTTTCCCCCCTGGCTTCTTGCAGTCACTTTCTATTTTGTATTACTTCCTTCCAAATGCCACATAGGACTAAAAATCATTTGGAAAAACAAATCAGTCTGTTGAAGTTTGAATAGAGTTAATACTCCAGTTGAGGAAAAAGCCAAACACATCTCAATCCTTTTATGCTCTTGGTAATCTGAGTTCCTGAAGAGTCTAGTCCAGATTTCTGTAAACTAACACATTCTCATTAAAAACCACTTATCTGCATTCCTTTAAACAGGATTCGGTCGGCTCCTTTTATGCTTTGGGGTTTTGTTCTCTTACGAATATCTATTGTAGCTTACCACACCAACTCTATATCAGCCCTGGTATAAGCATCCAGTTTATTACAGATGAACCCAAACCATGAGATCCCTTAGGAAGAGCCTCTTTGCTGACATAAGACCAATATTTCGGCCTCTGAAAATAGCTAACTAAGGTTTGTCCATATAATTAAGAACACTTGAATGACACCTTAGTTCACAGCATAGGGATGCTGAATTTTTCATTCAGTCTTATCCATATGGAAATATGCAGCATTGATTCATCATCTTTTCCCTGTGAGTTATTGCATAGCATTGTTTAAATCATAGCTTTAAAAATCCATTCCTGGGGCTGGAGAGATGGCTCAGCAGTTAAGAGCATTGACTGCTCTTGCAGAGGACCCAGGTTCAAGTCCCAGCACCCACATGGCAGCTATGAACCATCCTTAACTCCAGTTCCAGGGGAATCCGACACCCTCTTCTGACCTCAACTAGGTATCAAGTTTGAGGCCAACTTGGACTACATGAGAGTCTCTCTCTGTCTGTCTCTCTGTCTCTCTGTGTCTCTCTGTTTCTCTCACATAAAAAGTATCCATTTCTTTATTGGCATCCCTTTAGGGCTGAGAATACAGCTTAGCAGTAGTAGAGTACTTGCTTAGCATGGGGGAAGCCCTAGGTTCAATTGCCAGCATCCCCTGCCCCCAAAGCAAATGTCATTGGTGTGCCTGTAAATAGTTTCCAGGGTATTTTGTTGTGGTTTTGACTGTTTGCTTTGCTGTTACAAAAGTCTGCAGTGAACATTCCTGTCCATGTTTATTTGTGAACATTCCCAAGTTTTCTGGTGTTTTTCTAAGGCAAGCAATTGAAGGTTCACTCATTGTGGCCTTTGGTATAGATTATTAGATTAGTCTCCAGTTTACATTCCATTACAGTGGATAAATCCAAGTGGCCTGCATCCCACATTCTTTTTTTTAATTAAAAAATATTTTATTATTTTTATTTTATGTGTATGCGTGTATTGCCTGTGTGTAGGTAAGTGCACCCATGTCGTGCAATGCCCGCGGAGGACAGAAGAGGCGAGGACAGAAGAGGCTGTTGGATGCCCCTGGAACTGAAGTTACGGACAGTTGTTAGATGCCATGTGGGTGCTGGGATTTGAACCTGGGTCTTCTGCAAGAACAACCAGTGTTCTTAACTGCTGAGCCATCTCTCCAGCCCCTGCACCCCACTTTCTTATCAGTTCTTGCTATTATCAAAATTATTTATTGGGTATGAAATGGGTGTGGGTATGAAATGTTTATTCATTGTTGTTTAGAATATCTTCAAGTTTGTGAAAAAGTTGGCTTGGCAGCTTTGTGAAACAGCTGTTGTTCTTAAAGGGATGGCTAGTGGGCAGGAAGAACATGTTTGATGAGGTCCTATGAAAGCAGTGAAGGACATCAGCTACTTAGGACCAGCACTTGGATCTCTCATACTTAAAAAAAAAATAGAATGACTGGTATCTGTATTTTGACAAATTGTCAAAAGGTTCTCCCTCCTTTTCTGGTGCTGCTCACACCTCTATATTAAGATTAGATTATAAATTTGGGGCTAATCCAAAACAAATGTCAAGACTGGCCCCCATCTGCATGGAGAAAATTGAAAGGCTGGCTTTAGACAATGAGCAGAGATGGCCTTTAAGATGTTTCCAGTCACTTGTGGTGGGGCGTGGCTCAAGATTTAGAATCTGCATGTAGATGCAACTGGAAGAGAGGCAGGGAGGTGCTGAAAGGGGCTCTGCGCGGATGAACCATGCCCTTGAGAACAATCACATCTCATTAATTACATTTTAATCTGTGTCGGTTTTCCCTTTGTTACCTCTGAGCCTGTTAGTTAATTTCTCACCATTTTGACCTTGTGGCAGCTCTGCTATGGGAAATGAAGAAACTTGTCTTAAGTCCACTTGAGTCTGATTTGTGAAAGAGTACAAGTGACCCCAGAAACAAAGATGGTGGCAGCTATGATTTGTGCCAGGATTCCAAGATGATGATGCATCTTAAAGGGGCAGAGATCTAGTTACAGTATGCAGCCTCTTACTCTCATGTAGAAATTCTACCTCTGTGTCAGTCAGCTTTCCGTGACCACAACAAACTTCTGAAATCAATCAACTTAAGAAGAGGAAAGGGGAGAGGGCTCATTCCATAATGTGCTTGCTGTATAAGCATGAGGGACTGAGTTAAGATCTTCACCACCAACATAAAAAGCTGGGTGCAGTGGTATGCACAACTGTGATCCCAGTGCTGGGCAAAAGGAGGCAGGAGGATCCCTGGGCCTCACCAAATAGGTGAGCTCCATGTTCGGTGAGACACTTTGACTCAAAAATTAAGTTGGAAAATGTGTACACTACTTTTCTCAGTGCTGTGACAAAATACCTGTTAAGAAGAAACTTAAAAGAAGAACATAAAAGGTTTCTTTGGATTTGCAGTTTGAAGGGATACGGTCCATCGTGGCAGAGAAGCAGGCAGCAGGAGCAGCAGTCGGGAAGCAGAGAGCAATGGACTTTTGTGCTTGGCTGACTTTTTCCTTTTCATTCAGTCTGGGACCCTAGTCTACAGGATAGTGCTGCCTACATTTAGGGAGCCTACCCCACCTCAATTAGTGTAATCTAGAAAATTTCAGATGTGCCTAGAGATTTGTTTCCTATGTGATTCCAGACCCTTTCAAGCTGACAGTATTAACCATCACAAGGAGTGATAGTGGAAGACACCTGATGTCCACCTTTGCCCCACACAAACACGTGCATACACCTACACACACGAACACATGTACATGCATACATCATAAACACAGAAAAAGAATACAAAAGATTTGCTTGAGGTCACAATCTCAGAAGTTCATGATCGAGTGGACGTGCTGCTCTTGGGTCTGTGGTGAGTGAGGCAGCACATCATAGTGAGAGTGTGGAGTAGAGAAAGCCATTCACCTCATGGTGACCTGGAGGTGGAAGGAGAGATGGGAAGGGAGGCTTTCCCATTATCCTTCTAGCAGGCATGCCTCCAACGATCTAAGACTAGGACTCATCTTTATTATTATTATTATTATTATTTTTATTATTATTATTATGTGTATGAGTGTATTGCCTGCATGTATGTGAGTGCACCCATGTCGTGCAATGCTGCGGAGGTCAGAAGAGGGCTTTGGATTCCCCTGGAACTGGAGTTAAGGACGGTTCGTAGCCTCCATGTGGGTGCTGGGAATCGAACCCGGGTCCTCTGCAAGAGCAGTCTCAATGGCTGAGCCATCTCTCCAGCCCAGGACTCATCTCTTAAAGGTCCCACCTCTAATAGTGCTGAGCTGAGGGCCAAGCAAGCATTTGGGGGACATTCGAGACCCAAACTATAGTAACCATCATTTGAATCTTCTAAGACTTTATTAAGGGATTTTATTGGGGTTTCTTACATTCTATTTTTTCATGCAGTTTGGGTAAACTCTGCCTCACATGGCTGGGAATAATCCCTTTATTTCCTGGGTAGCGGCATGATGGCACAGAAAAAGGATTTTGAAACTTGATAAACTTGAGCTCAAGTTTGGAGATGTCTTTGATGTTGGACACATTCTTTAAGCTTCCAATTCTTCAGCTACATAACAAAGGTAAGGAGACTGCCTTACAGTTAATTGAATTATATAGGAAAAAAAATACAAGAAAACAGCTAGTTTATGTCTGGAACACAAAGACTTGAAAGAAGAATTAACACACACACCTTTTCTAACCCCTGTCCTCTGGGGCCAGCTTTCCCACAGCTCCCAGTGCCTCCATAACTCCCAGTTGGGGCCCCCTGGGCAGGTCTCCCAGCACCTCACCTTGTGTGAATCTCCATCAAAGTTGACCTCTCCCTTGTCAAGTTTCCGACCTTGTCTCTGCTATTAGGTACCACTGATTTATAGTGATTAACTCAGCATTTTATTTCTTTTAGTCAAAGAAATAACTGCTACTGCAATTTTTAAGCACCACCACAAGTATACTGGGGCAATATAGTATCAGGGGACAGAGACAAGTTGGTGCTCAACCTATTTTTCTCTGAGAGTCCCCAGGAGTAACTGACATCCTCATTTGCCCTCAATGTAACTGTCTCTCCTCATAACTAGAAGATTTGGGATCTGGAGCTGGAATTATGAATATTCTTTACCCTCTTTGGCCTTAAAATTAAGATGCTGTCAATGGTCTGGACTCCCATAGCTGATTATGAACGCCTTCATCTCTTAGTTACCATTTCAAATTTACCCCATTGGCAGCTTCTGATAAGGAACTTGAAGGCATTTCAACCCCTTCCCTTACATATGGACACAGTAAACTGCAAACAGGCTTCCCTTGGGCTGGACTGGTTCAGGGTGGGGGTGGGGGTGAAGAGCAAACAGGTTTAATCTCTAACCTTGGCCTTCTGTCCCTCGGGCAGCAGGATCTGAGATAATCCCTTTTGTCCTCTTCACTGTGTTCTTTTGCCATAGGTGGCTGTCAGCCACTTAGGGCTATCAGTTTGACATTTCCCTCTAGTTCTGCATGGAAACTAAAATACCATTTAAGTCTTCTTCCAACATTTCTCAAATCATGTGAGTATTACCAAGCATGAAATTATCAACTAAAAACTCAATTTTAAAGAGCTGGTTCTTTGGGAAAAATAAGAAAGAACATTTCTCCCGGTTAGCTCTGAGATTTGATTTTTTTAAAAAATTTCTTCAATAATTCAGTATTGTGTGCTTCCTAATCTTTGGAGATTAGGCTTGAATTTTTCACCCAGACTCCAATTTGCTCATAAATCTCTTCATTTGGCTTAATTTAAATGTTTTGGCCAACTTCATGGTTTAATAATGAGAAGTAAAATTGGGGTTTTAATGACTACTAAGAAAGGAAATTTCATTTTGTCTGGAACTAAAAGAGCTGTTAAAGGGGGTGGACAGTCCGTCAGACAAGCTGCTACTACCTTTGCTGGAGTGTGCCAAATGTGGCTAGATATTATATGTCGCTTTACACCCAGGGTGATTCTCCAATCTGATTACTTGAAAATCCTTCAAATCCAGGCCTGCTTACAGCCCCCTGATTACTATGCCCCTATTGATTAGCTATGAACTATGAATTGAATGCAGGCCATCTGAGAAGTGCCGAGCTCCCCTGTGTGCCCCTCACGTGTTGCCTGTCAGAGCCAAGGCAAGTGACCCAGCTTCAACACAAGTTGTATAATGGGGGCCCTGAGACCTTAATTATCAGATAACTGGGCATTAGAGAGTACTATTTCAGCACTTCCACCAGAGCAGCCTTCATTTAAGAGAAAGAGCCATAAAAAGTTTTAAAGCCCCTTTTAGTAAGTTTACCACTGGAGAAAGATATACACAGCTTGGCTACGAAGCCTCGAATTCCCTCTTGTCCCAGAGCTGAGAGGAAATTCTAGCTAGGTAGGTCTCCTCATGAAGAGGGGCGCCCTGGTTTCTTTTGCTTGTATAGAATATAGTGCGTCCTCTGAGACCATTCATGGGAGACCGCCTGGCACCGGACAGAAGAATGGGAACTGGATTGCATAGACCAACCCATTCTACTGGGGGCTTACTGAATAGGTAGAGAAAAATAACCTCACATTCTTCAGGTAAACCCTTCAGCTATGTCCTAAGCTACTTTTCCTCACCATACACTATTTTTTCCAAGTCACTTATGCCTTTTCTTGGGTTTGACCTTTATAGCAGACTGTCAATAGCCCAGGAGTGAGAAGCTTACTTTAATATGTTTTGTGTTCACTCTTTTATTGATTGATGATGGAACTGGCAATTCATTCATTTCTTATTCCAGTACCGCCACACTCAGAACACTGGGCAAGTCTTATTTCTCAGTGTTCTAAGGCTGCAGAGAAGTGTGTTCTCTGATTTCTTCTACTCATGGGCAATCTGGTTGGGTAAGGGTGATGTACATGTACAGAAAGTTAGATCACAGCTTGGCTACATACAGTAAGGACAGGCTGCCTAGAGAACACACAAAAATGACCAGAGGACCAATTCTGAGTGACAAAAGTCTTTGGATACTGACATATGGGAGGTTTTTTCCTTCTGCTTTTTGAATTTTCCATTTTTTCCCTATTGTATATGTGTATTACATTACTGACTGTTAAAAACAACTTAACATAGGTCTTAAACTGGTACTGTAACAAAACTTTCACAAAAGCAAATTAAGATTCAGGATTAAATGGGTGGTACAGTAAGTGTGTTTCTTAGATGTTAACTGCCTTGCTTTCTGTATCTTTTCAGTTTCCAGAACAGAAATGTGTCCATAGAAGACACCTGAGGGAAATACATGATACTTATTTAATCTAGTTTATTAGTTGATAACATAACCTCTGCTATACCTTTCATAGTTCTATCTTTTGTTATTAATCTATAATTTTGTGACTATGTGCTTCATATTAATTCAATAATAATGAATTTTGCTTTCAATATTTTTTGTCCCTTACATTCTAGTTTGTACACAAATAGGTGCTTTTATATCTTCTAAATCATGTCTCATAATTAATAGGATCTCAAATTTGGACTAAAAAGATATTTTATGAAAAATAGTAATGACTTTGTTTGGTTTGATAATTTGAGACAGAGTCTTGCTATGTAGCCCAGACTTAGAACTCTGTCCTGCCTAATGCCTTTTGAGTGCTGGGTTTAAGCCAGAGGACAACTTCAGGGATCATCCCTCAGGCACTGTCTACCTTGTTTTTTGGGGACAAGGTCTCTCTCTGACCTGGAAATCATCTAGGAGGATAGTCTAGCTGGCCTGTAAGCCCTAGAAATTCATCTGTCTCCACTTGGATTACACATGTGTCTACCATGCCTAGCTTTTTTTACATGGGTTCTGAGGATCTAACTCAGGTCTTCATGCTTATTAGGAAAGCACTTTACTAACTGAGCTATCTCTCCAGCCTGATAGCTGTTAATGACTATCATAATTCTCTTATATAATCATCATCACATAGTACCTAGCTTCCAACAAAATATAAGAACTATCTTTGATATCTTTAATCTGTTTCTGATTACATTGACTCACATACTTTCAGTGACAAGGGGACTCTTTGCTCTCTTCCAGTGTTCTTCCTTTTGCATTCTGTCTCTGAACAAAATGGACTATGGATTCTAGCAACTATACCAGATAAAGTCTTCTGCCTTTTCCATGTGACCCTGGATTATACCCACCCCTGGGTTATACCCACAAGTATCCTTCTGTCCCTGACAGGATAAACATAGCATTTTATAAAAGTTTATTATTTCAAATTGTTGAGTTATATTTTAAGTCAGAATGGCTTGGGTATGGTCCTAATGGGGAGGAAGTAAAGCAATTGACTACTGGTGAGCTTTCCAGATAGCTAAGTAAGATGGCAAACTTCAAATCCACACAGGCTATTGATTATTTTCTTCAAATAACTTTCTTATTCTAGAAAAAATTAGAGCCACTGGATTCTATCTCAAGTAAGTAACTGTCTTGGTTGAGTTGATACAGCTACTCTGAAATCACAAACCCTCATTGTCATTAATAATTAGAAAAACATTGTTGGAGAGCCTATAAAATTCTTCTAATAAAATTTCATCTTTTAATTGATATACATTTGTAGCATTATAGAGGCAAGACGCTTTGAAAACGCATAAAAAATATAAGGGATGAACAAGGTTATAGAATCAATGTTATTTACCTGTGTCACCAACAAAAAGCTGAAGTCCTAGCTAGTGAAAAATCAGGCAAATGTACAACCTTGCCAAGCTTTTGTTCTGTTTAAAGCAATCCCTCCAGGTGAGATCAGGTGACGGGATACCAGGGGAGAAGCTCCTGTGATACAGAGCAAGAACTTTGCCCTTGACTTGGAGTTGGAACCTGGTCTTTCCCCAGCTGTGGAACTCTGAATGTGATGTTTTGTTTCTAGAAGCTTTTGTTTTCCCTCCTGGATATAATAAGATTTAACTCATAGGGTGGAAGATGAGAGATGCTACTGTGAGGAGTAAATGAACAAATGTGTTTGGCATGCAGAAGATGTCAGGGAGATGCTGGTTCTTTCCCCCTTTCCTCTCCTTTCTTCCATCTAAACACTAGCACTTAAGAAAATAGCAGCATTTTTCTAAACTTGTCAAAACTGGCCAGACTTCCCCTTACAGAATCACTCAAAATGCTAGGACTATAATTTGTTGCCCTTCAAACCATCATGATGTTTTTACACTTTAAAGCAAACCACCAGGGGGAAGTAAGTCTTTTCCTGGCAGGTCCAGAAGCACCCGAGGTTGGTTTAGACTGTTTTGGTAAAGAAGACCACATTTCTGAACAAATGCCACCTTGATGGATTTGCATTGAACTGACTATCCCATGAACCAAGTTTTGGTTATTTTATTTGGGAAATCATTTGGGGGCGATAATGAGGAGAGCAGGGAGAAGGCTGACTGATTTTCTCAGAGCGGCTTGAGGGTTGGGAGGCTGGATTCTAGTAGCCTGTATGGAAGACCTGAAGGCAGCGGGAGAAAACAAACCCTCCTAACCTCGGTGGATCCCCTAGCAACCTACAGGTATTATTACCTTGCTCTTTCCACTGAGCTCATGCCCAGGAAAATGAATGAAGTCACATTTTTGCTTGCTATAAATTATTAAGCTGTTCTTTGCATGGGTGCTATGAATCAAGGGTGCATTAGCATATCTCTGCCACTCAGCTTCACCCTTGTAGCATTTTTATGTGTATTCGCTCTCTGTTGGATTTGCCTCATTCATTCATGCATTCATTCACAGGAACCAATGAAGTGCCAGGCATCCTATGCACTGCAAAAAAATGAAAGGCGAACAAGGCACTTCCTCTGCACTTTAAAGGTCTTCTGGGGTAGGTAGGAGGAAGGGGAAGAACAAGTCATAGACAGAAGAGCCGTAGAGAGGCTGAGAGTGGTCAGGAAAGAGGGCTGTGTTCTCCCTTGGGCTGGGGAATCAATGAAGATTTCATAAGGGGGTGGTTTTAAGCTGGGTCTTAAATATGGGGAGCTTTGGCAATGTATAAAGGACTCCCACTAGGTGGGGAGATCTGCCGGAGCAGAGGCAGAAGGAACAGTTTGGGATCAAAGATAAAGACGGATGGATCCTGGGGTAGTCTGACTGTGGTGTCGGGTGAAAGGGAAGTGGGAAAGGTGCCAAAAGGCTGAAAGGTCAAGGGGAACCTTGAATTCTCTGCAAACAGTAGCAGCCTCAGCAAACCTGCTGTTTTATTACATAAAACAAAAGATCCATTCCCTGAATTAAAACATTGTTTCTGAATTCTATATCTTCTAGGCTAATCTGAACACTTAATCATCAACAAGTCCATTGCCTGACTGGTTTGAAAATGGTTTTCTGCCTGAGACAGGCAAAGCTACGCAGGAGTCTGAGGTGGAAAGGAAGGTCAGTACCCTGCTCCTGCCCTCACTGGCTGGGTTCAGTCACACCACCACAGCACATTCTCAGGCCCCATCTCTGCAGGACAGCTTGCTCATGGATGAATTTGAGCTACAGCTGGTGGGGGTGGTAGGACTAAGGTTTTAAGAAGTCAGCTCAGGGGGCTGGAAAGATAGCTCAGCGGTTAAGAGCACTGACTGCTCTTGCAGAGAACCCAGGTTCAATTCCCAGCACCTACATGGTGGCTACAAACCGTCCTTAATTCCAGTTCCAGGGGAATCCCAAGCCCTCTTCTGACCTCCACGGCATTGCTCAATATGGGTGCACTCACACACATGCAGGCAATACACTCATACATATAAAATAATGAATAAAAATGTTTAAAAAATATATTTAAAAAAAGAAGTCAGCTCAGGCATGGTGTCACTCAAATGGGAATGGGCAAAACGCCTCTAGCTGCATGGATCTGCATGTACATCGGGCTTAGACATAAATTACACCAAAGGCTATTCAGTGAGAACTTTCACTGAAAGCTGGAAGTCTAGCCCAGCCATGTTACCAAGAAGCTCTGGATAAAGGCCCAAGTGGTAAGGGTGTGTCTTTAATTCTTTGAGACACACAAGGGGTACTATGGGAACCAGCATGTCTGTGGTACACTGTTGCATACACTCATTCCACACCCCCACACAAATACCACCCCCAACTCTACCACACACATTTACATCACACCCCCACACTGGCAAGAGCCTACATTATCTTTGCTAAGCTGTTCCACAGTCACAGGACACACCTTCATACACACCACCTACATACCACATACTCTCACTCTGTCTACACACACACCACACACGTTACATGCTCACACCATCCACATATGCATACATGCACCACACACCTACATACACTCTGCATAGTCACACCCCTCACATATACATACCCACTGACAAGAACCTACACATCTGTGCTAAACAGCTATCCACTATACCACACTCATACCTCACCACACCACACCATACATGCACGGACAAGAACCTGCATGTGTTTGTTAAACTGCCGTTGTATATATACACCAAACATATCATACACACACACACACACACACACACACACACACACACACTTACACATACCCTTCCTATTCACTCACACCACACAGACACACAAAAATCTTTATGCCTGCAATAAATTACTACACACATCACACTTAACATGCACACACACACACACATATACATACAGAGGAAACTTTCTGTCTGTGCTAAACTGTTACACATACCATACCCAGTATCCCCCCATCCCACACTTCCCCATCCCTACACTGACAGAACATTCATGTGTGTGCTAAGCTCTTACATACACAACACACAAATATATAGTGTACATGCACATATACACAGACACAGACACATACACCAGTTTTGCTTATATAAAAGAGAACAAAATCAGCAAAGAAAAAAAAATCGTCTCCATGCAGGACTATTTTTATCTGATCCTCTTTAAGCTAGTTGGAAAGTCCTGTCTGTCACACAAGAGCTGGTGACACACAGTCTCTTGGTAATGCTGGCCTGAGCTGTTTACCTGCCTGTGACTTCTGTCCTTTGACCATGACATTTGACCAAGTTTCAATAATTCAAAATGCTTTTCTAGCCCACTTGGTGCTCTAGGATTACAGATGATGCAGAAATGGAAGCTCCATTCTATTACTTTTAATGGAAAAGCCACTAAGAATCTAATCAGAACAATCCAAGTAGAATAACTTTCGAGGCAGATTCCTTGTGCTGTGGATAACAGGATGGCTTAATGGGTTGAAAGGAAGGCAGTTCTATCTGATGTTCCTGTACACCAGAAATTTGGGGATTTTGCTCTGTATTAATTTCATATGGCTCCACATCTTCAGTTCTGAATTCTTACCCCCTTTCCCTTGATTTTGAAACTGATCCTTTCCATAAAATGGCTCCTAATCCACTTTGGACAGTCACTGCTTATTTCAGCTAGCCTTTCTTCATTCTGTAGGGTGCTGCTGTTTGTCTGTGCAGCTAATGCCACTAATACAAAGTACAGAAGCCCAGGAGGGAGATCGTGATGAGGCTTTCTAAATAACGTTGACTGAAAGAAAACCAGAATGAGAGAGGCAAGTCAGAATTCTCCAAAAGGAACACTGTGGGTGGAAAGAGAGAAAAGAACCATAGCAACAGCAGACGGTCTTTCATCAGAGGAGGGCCGAACTCATCAACCTGAATTAACCATATGCCCCTCTAAGAAAGATGAAGCAAAGCCTCATTTTCTTAGACATGGAAACAGCTCAGCGACCCAAGAACACACCTGTCTCATCCCCCAAGTCTTCTTTAGTTATCTTAACCACCTAGAACATGGAGCCCTTCTAAGTTTCCACATGACTTAAGTGCCAAGGCATAGATTCCAGCACTTTGCTATGTCGTGTTGTTCCACTCTTGTGTATGTTTGTGTTTGTGTTTGTGTGTGAGTGTGTGTGTGTGTGTGTGTGTGTGTGTGTGTGTGTGTGTGTGTGGGTGTGTGTGTGTGTGGAGGGAAGAGGACAACCACAGGAGGTATTCTTCAAGAGCCATCCACTTTTTTTTCTAGTAGGTTTTCTTCCTGGCCTGAAACTCACCAAGTAGGCTAATTTGGCTGGTCAGTTGGTTACAGAGATCCACCTATCTCCACTTCCCCTGTGCTGGTATTACAAGCTTACGCCACCATGCCCTGCCTTTTTAATGTGGGTTCTGGGCTTGAACTGAAGTCTTCATACTCACAAGGCAAGCACTTTACCAACTGAGCCACCTCCCCAGCCCTCTCCATTCTTACAGGTTAAGTTTTGCCCTCTTAGACACAGCGCTGATCTTTGCTTTTGTTTATTATTCACAGAATCTAAAGTGGAGCTGGAGAGATGGCTCAGTGGTTAAGAGCATTGGCTGCTCGTGTAGAGAACCTGGGTTTGGTTCCCAGAGTCCACAAGGCGGCTAACAACTATCCAAACTCATGTTCAAGGGAATCCAATGCCCTCTTCTGGCCTCCTCAGGTATTGCATGCATGGTGCACTTACATACTAGCAAAACACTCATACACATAAAATAAAAGTGAATTTTTAAAAAATTAAGTGGTGTGGGGAACTAAGAACAAAGTCACTTGCCAATCAGGGAAAAGGTATCACTGTGCTGAGATCTTTCCAGCTCCCTTCCCTTCACACTTCCCTGACATAGCCAAGACAGAAAGCTAGATTAGGTGTGAGAAACACTGAAGGTAGGCAGGATTCTTTAGCTGCTTTTCTAGAAGGAGCTTCATGCTGACCTCTACTCTCTATAGTATAGACACAGTTCAACTTGAAAATGGGATCTGTCCCCTGACTCTCTATCAGCCACCATGCACTGATTCCCTCCCTTGCCTCCATCAGCCTAACCTGGGGAAACATTTACATGTACATGCTTGTGGTCATATTGGCTGTTCAGTTTTCTTATACCTTTCCTTGGGGCTTTCCTGCCATTTCTGCTCAGAGGTTGCTTTCCACTTTGCCACCTTCACAGACTTCCTTCTCCCCTATCTTAGCACAAACTCTACTGTTTGATCCACAGTGATCCCTGAATTTTCTTACTCATCCTCCAGAATTGGAAATTCAAATGAAATGTGACCAGTCCTGATCTAACAACAGTGTCTGGATATCTTGCCTGGTTGTTTTAAGTTTACGTCAAGGTTGCTGACCACTCAGTTCTAGTATTTGGAGGGTTCCCCCTTCCTCTGGAAGCCACACTTTCACGTTTTGATTTTTTTCCCCAATCTTTGAGGTACACCAGGGGATCACCAGGGTGCCAGCCCCTGCAGACACTTTCAGTTTGGGCCAGGGTGGGACCAGCCTGTAGGGAAAAAAAGTCACCCTTTCCAAAAAGGCAGGAGAATTATTCAAAGCTCAAAGCCAATTGAAATTCTGTTTTTCTCTTGAGCAGGTCCATAGGAAGCAGCAGCATTAAGCCACATCTTTGTGAAAGGAGTCCTTCTGTGTATGCTCTCCCCGCATTGCATTGTCACAGCCTGAGAGAGCTGACACCCAGCCAGGAATCAGAACGCTCTTATCATTCCCAGACTACTTCGCCTTGCTGTGAACACCAGGCTGGTGGGAGGGCCACAAACTGTTCTCTCAAGCTTCACTCCAGTCACCAGTCTGGCATGTCTGTAGTGTTCTAGCCCCATTCTGGCCCTTCACACCACTGGGAAGTCCCCCTTGGATTCCAAAAGAAAATTAAACTCCTTGGAATCCAAAACTAATAAACTTTCATGGAGCGGTCCCAGGTGGATTGGTTATCGTGATGTTTCAGTCTCACCTAACCAATAAGAGGACTGCTTGGCAAGTTCCCAGGGAATATTCTCATATGAGCACTGGATTAGAAGAAACCAAAAGATTTTCCACCATCTACGTACTCATCTTACACCCCACCTGGGTTCTGAGGCAGAGATCTTGTGACAGTTGGGGCCCTGCAGAGCAATTAAAAGAAATAAAGCAAAGTATTATATTTTAATTGATGTAATCTTCAAGCTCCCAGTGGAATCTGGGGTGATGTATCTGACTAGAGTTACCCCAGGTATCAATAGATGACTATTTTGTGAGAGTGCATTCAGGAAGACAAGAAACCCCACAAACCTGAACTCCATTAACATGTGTGTCCGTTTTGAGGAGTGTGTGCGTGGAGGGGGAGTTGGCTCAGACTCCCAGAAGTGAGAACTGAAAAAAGTCACCAAGACTTTTCTGGGATTTGAACAAAGAGTGGAGAGAGGGAGAGGAGAGAGGGGGGAAGGGAGAGAAGGGCAGGGAGAAGGGAGCTGGAAGAGAGAGAAAGAGAGAGGGAAGGAAAGGGAAACAGAAAGAGGGGCAGGTGGAGGGGAAGACACGTAGTGGGTTCCTGGTTCTATTTACTTTTTAGAGTCATACCTGCATAGTAGACACAGTGATCACACTTTCTAAACCTGAACAGCTCTCACCCATCACTAACATTTTAGGGTTTGTTTTTGTTTTATTGTAAATATTCCAGTAGAATAAAGATAAACAGACAAGAAAAAACTGCTTTATATAGTACACAGAGTCAGATAGAAAATACAGAATGGAAAAGAAAGCCAACGACCAATGGATCAAGAGAGACAGACCAAGGACCAGAACAATCTGGTTGCACATTCACGAAACAGCTGGAGGGAGATACAGCGATGGTCTCAGTGACTAAGGGAAGCTGCCTAGAGCTGTTAGTCTCATCTTCATTCCACACAGCGAGGGAAACAGACATAATAAATTATGTATCGGGACATTTATTTCACTAATTCATTAAAAAAAAGTTTGCTATTGATCAACATAGCCTGTTAATAAAAATGAGTTGTTTGTTTTAAATCATTCCTACCTGAGGTGTGACCAGACAGGAAGAACCATGGAGTCAGAATTGTGGGACAGAGCTGTAGGTTGGAGCAGTGTGGCACCATTGGGGTCTGCTGACAGTCAGCCTTCATGTGCCCTTCCCACCAAATCCGCATTTCTACACAAGGCATGGTTTAAAAAAAATACTCCAGTGTCCCACACAGCTTAGTGCCATTGCACAGTTAAAGAGAGAAAAGAACAGGGATTCAAATTCACCAGCAAGAAGAGGTCAGTTTAAAACCAAACTGGAGTTGCCTGCAGGATCAAGAATAATCAGGGTACCACTTGGCCCCAGGACAGCAGCTCTAATGAGTTGTTCCAGCACAGGGAGGATGCTGACATACCCAAAAGGCAAAACCAGGGAGCTTGGTTCATCATCTCCAAAAACATCTTTATTTAAGTACATTCAGAGCAGAAACAAGATGAGGTCAGCTCAACTCAAGGTGGTGGCGGTGTTGGTGGAGGTGGAAGCAGCTGTCCCTCTCTAATTTTCTAAGTTTACAGTCAGAAATTGCATAGAATTTGTTTTCCATCAGTAATGACAACTCTGCATGGAACTCTGGAGTGATGATGCCAGTAAAGGCCAACCAGCTGCTGGGAGGCTGCAGCCCTCCCACCGGGAGTACACTCTGGACCCTGCAAACCTCCTACAGGCAGAGCAGTTCTTGGCTACCTGGGAAAGCATTGTTGACTCCTAGTCTGTGGTGGAGTTAGATGCCATGACTCAAATCACAGAAGGGTTGCTACTGCCCACACTGCGGTCTGGACTTTAGGCTCCTAGCTCTGCAGCCAGTGGTGACTGGCTCAGAGATCCTCTCTCTGGAGCCAGGCAAATTCTTGATTACTTAAGGTCTTTCTGTTCCATAAACACATGCCTGTGTGCGTGGGTGTACACACACACACACACACACACACACACACACAGATATGGGGGCATGCACACATACACAAACACATTTAGACACACGTACACCCATGTTTCATGTCTAGTACCAAGAAATCACCCAATCCATGATAGCCTTGAGAGTGGGGCTTCACAGGCAGCTACAGGGTTTGGTTGAAAAGAGATTCATTTAACAAAGTGTGTACCATGCTAGCAGGGTGGCCCTGTTCACTGGCAGGCCACAGTAAGGGAAAGTCACATCTTCCCTCCCTGCTCCTTACATAAGGCCCAGCACACCTTCTTTGCATATTTTGTCTTCTTCCTGTCTTTAGAAGCACATCTACCAAAGCCCAGACCCAACCCAGTAATAATGCCAGAAAAATGAAGAGAAAGACGAAATAGATTAACCCCTGAAACTCCGGGCATTTCAAGGCCCCTCCAGGTCAACTGTAGGTTAACTGCTTTTTGGCATTTTAAGAATTGCTTTGATGGACTTTCACTTGAGAGTCTCCCCTGATTCTTTCCAGACCCTTCTCCTACACTCTGAAGACCCCCAAACACCACACAGCAGGGAGACCTCTGCACCTGAATCCCCATGCATTGGCAACTCCACAGCCTAAAAGTCAAGAAAACGGAATGGAACAGGGATTAACCTTCCATTCCCTAAACCAGACTCCCCCTCCCAAAGCAAGAAACGAGCAGAACCCAGAAGAGACAAAAGAACAACGGGGAGAGAGAAAAGGACATTAACAAAAATATACAAATTCAGAAAAGAAAAACTTCCCTGTTG